TATTCTTCCTCCAAACTTGAATCTGCCAGTACTACACAAGAGCTTCGTCAGCACTGAACATTCCTCTCGGCATTGTGTTTTGTTTCCTTTACCACTCGCTCGCTCTCACTCATCTGACTGCTCTGACAAGCCCCGCGGCTCTGCGACTGGTGGGCGGTAGAGGTGTGAATCTTCACTAGTCTCCCGATCGATTCGATTATGATTATTGGGTCAACGATTCAATTCGATATCCCGATGCATCACGATTATTTCATATTAATTTGTTTTCATCGATAAATAGAAGATGTCAGATAATTGCTTTTTATTTTTTTGATCAAAAACGTAATTGACACAACCTGCCATCCCTCAAAAGCTCTCCATTCACAACAGGTTAGGACAAAACATTTTAAACATTTAAGAAGATTTAACAAAGTAAAACATCTGTTTCCTCGTTCAACACCACGCCTCAGGCTGAGAAAACACGCTTTGCAAAAACTCACAAAATCTAAAAAAGTACTGAAAACCTGCAGGACACATAATGTAATAATAAAATACATAATGGGTTCATATATGAGTGTTTAATGTCTCTGAGCAGCTCTAGAGTCAGATATTTATGCCGCAGTTGAAGGGTGTCAGAAATAACACCAAATGAAATGTTTGACTTTGTTATTTTATTTGAGCCCAGTGGTTCGTTTCTGAAATGTTGGAGAATGAATCAAGTTCTGTTTGATGCAGAAAATAATAAAACACAAAACAAATTCTACACTTCCAATAATATTTAAGATGTGTGTTTAATTCTTTCTGATAATAACACCAGCAGAAGGCTGTGGGCTGGATTAGGATTAGATTACACAGCTGATGGATCTCTTTCACTAACCAGCTAACTACACACCTTTCCACTAACCTGTCCTGTGTGACCCTCACCATGTAACCCTCATGTCCATGCTGTCTCTGGAGGAGCAGATAGGAGACAAGACCTCCTGTAACCTAAAATGAACCAAAGCTTCCTCCCAGCTTCTCTTTAAACTGAATTTAACATCAGTTTATCATCATGAAACAAAAGAATAAAGTGGAACAAAAAATTTTATCTTCTATTTCTCTCTCCTTTTAACTTCTCCGTGTCCCTAAATAAAAGAGACAGACGATCACGCAGCAGCAGCCGTCATTGACCCCGCCCCCTCCCCAAGACCGGATCTCCCTACATCACAACAAGCAGTCTGATTGAGCGCGTCCAGGAGAAATAATTAAATTATGAAAATAATAACACGTGTTTGGAGCATCGGTTTGGAGGAGCGTCCTCCGATCCTCTCTCTCTCTCAGTTGTTGTGCGAGCGAGCGGAGCGCGCCACATGACAACCCGCTCAATTAACTTAATTCACGGCCCAAATCCAACAGAACCGGTCGGGCTGATTTCGTTCCGGTTTGGTCTCGGGTTACAACTCTAGCGCTCAGCCCTGCAGTACCACATAAAGGCGGAACGATACTTGGTAAATGTGGAGGACGCTCACTCTGACAGATGTGGATGCTGCGCTGGTGCCGCCGTTAAAAAAACAAAACTACATTCCACTATAATCGATTATGGCATAATCTTCTACGATGCTGAATCGTTAATGTCTGCATCCCGATGCATCGATTATTTGATTATTTTCCTCAGCTCTAGTGGGCGGGGTTCAAGCTCTAAATACTCCATAAATTTGAATAGTAACACACCCACAAATGCTGCTTGGATTGAAGTTACAGGTGTCTGCCACCCCGCTGTGTAGCGTTTTAACTGCATGAGGGCTCATTTCTGCTGCTGTGGCTTATTAAATCCATCATTGCTGCTTGTCGCAATGCTGCGACTTTGGCGCTTAAAGGGTTAAAGATCTTCATCTCCAGCTCGCTGTGCTCGCCACCGGCGCCCCCTTCACCTGGCCATCTTCTGGTAGGGGACTTGGTCTAGGAGGCCCTTGATGTCCAATGACGAGTCTTCCAGTACCTGGTGGGCTGGAGGGGGTACGGTCCGGAACATCGCTCATGGGTCCTAGGGTCCTTCATCGAGAATCCTACCCTCATTAGGGACTTGTGCATGTGTGCTTACGGGCGGGTTTGTGAGGGTTTGTCTATATGTGTGTCTGCTCCGTCTTCTCAATCCCCAGTGAGCCATGGCAGATGGTTGCTCATTGTTAGACGTTTGAATTTGAACGATTCTGATTCATATTCCTCATTTCAATTTTGGTTCCTATTGATTCCCGAATCCGATTCTTTCAAGAGGCAGGATCCAAAAACATTACAAATTTCAAATAAGCCGGCTAACGGGTCTTGATTGATGAAATAATCTGAACTTCAACATCAATTTTAATTCTATGAACTAGGGCTGGGCAATAAATTGAAAATGTATCATTATTGAAATTTCTGACTTTTATCGAGAAAAAATTTCCCATGTCAATAAATTTGATAATAAAAAAATGAAAAGATGTGTGTAGGTTAGCAACACTCATGTCCTTTTAAGAAGCTGCACCACCTTGAGTACCGTAAAAATGTGACTCAATGTAATACTCATGACAGTCCCATCTAGTGGACAACTTTTGTTTCTGCGCATACCTGTAGCTATCGTCCATTTATCGTTATCGAGGCGAAATCCTCAATATAATGTGATATTAATTTTAGGCCATATTGCCCAGCCCTACTATAAATAATAACATCACCTTCATTAAGAATAGAAAAAAAATTCAAGAAAGAAAGAAAAAGACTTGCAGCACAACCAGTGTGTTTGCTTCTGACCACAACCAAAGTCTGGGAACTGAAGAAGCCTCTAGGATGAGAGGCTTAAGTCTCCAACACAACCAGAATAATCCAGCTGCTTTCAGCTGAAACTCTGAATTAAAATGATCATGTCCAGGATGACAGACTCTACACCTACACGCTGAAGCAGGCATTCAGTCAGAAAGGAAACTGAAACTTAAATGTAGCTGCTGTCAGTAGCAATCTAACAGGAGGATTGTTGGATTGTCGAACCTCGGATTCAGGACCAGTGGCATAAGCCCCAGAGAATGAGGCCTCCAAGATCAATGAGACACTCAAACCCCTCCACCACAATGAGTGGGCAATTGAGGCATGGGTCACTTATGGCAGTTTCACATCTGGGCCAGCACCAACCAGGCTGGGTGGCGTCGGTCCGGTTCCCCCAATGGTGTGTTTGTTCACATATACTCAGGGTTTCCCCCAGCATTTTATAAGCCTGGCGCCCGCCAGCCTTTGCTTGCCCACCCGCCAGGATAAGAGTCATGCCCCGCCCCCCTCCCCGACCCAACCGTGTCCGCTGACATGAACGGCGCAACAAAACTAGAGCCCTCCATCAGCTGATACCGGTGAGAAACTGCAATGGAACGTGTGCAACCAGCCCACCCCCCTCTCACAGAGGAGCGCTGCGGGATGGAGCGTGCGAACCCCCCACCCCCGCTCTTACAGCTGAAGCCGCCAGGCTTTACTCATTTTCTGGGGGAAACCCTGCATAATTTTCATGAATGGGGAAATCTCCAAGCAAGTGGGCGGGGCATAAGTCGCGCGGAAAAGTCCATGGTGTCCCTTTAACAATGGCCATGCAGCTCAAAGCACGGCAGCATTGCCTCTGTGTGTGCTCCTCAGCTGTAAGGAGAGACAGAGAGCTGCAGCTACAGTGTGTGTGTGTGTGTGTGTGTGTGTGTGTGCTCCTCAGCTGTAAGGAGAGACAGAGAGCTGCAGCTACTGTGTGTGTGTGTGTGTGCTCCTCAGCTGTAAGGAGAGACAGAGAGCTGCAGCTACAGTGTGTGTGTGTGTGTGTGTGTGCTCCTCAGCTGTAAGGAGAGACAGAGAGCTGCAGCTACTGTGTGTGTGTGTGTGTGTGTGTGTGTGTGTGTGTGTGTGTGTGTGTGTGTGTGTGTGTGTGTGTGTGTGTGTGTGTGTGTGTGTGTGCTCCTCAGCTGTAAGGAGAGACAGAGAGCTGCAGCTACAGTGTGTGTGTGTGTGTGTGTGTGTGTGTGTGTGTGTGTGTGCTCCTCAGCTGTAAGGAGAGACAGAGAGCTGCAGCTACAGTGTGTGTGTGTGTGTGTGTGTGTGCGCGTGTGTGTGCGTGTGTGTGCTCCTTAGCTGTAAGGAGAGACAGAGAGCTGCAGCTTCTGTGTGTGTGTGTGTGTGTGTGTGTGTGTGTGTGTGTGTGTGTGTGTGTGTGTGTGTGTGTGTGCTCCTCAGCTGTAAGGAGAGACAGAGAGCTGCAGCTTCTGTGTGTGTGTGTGTGTGTGTGTGTGTGTGTGTGTGTGTGTGTGTGTGTGTGTGTGTGTGTGTGTGTGTGTGTGCTCCTCAGCTGTAAGGAGAGACAGAGAGCTGCAGCTACAGTGTGTGTGTGTGTGTGTGTGTGTGTGTGTGTGTGTGTGTGTGTGTGTGTGTGTGTGTGTGTGTGTGTGCGTGCGTGCGTGCGTGCGTGCGTGTGTGTGTGTGCGCGTGTGTGTGTGTGCGTGTGTGTGTGTGTGTGTGTGCGTGTGTGTGTGTGTGTGTGTGCGTGTGTGTGTGTGTGTGTGTGTGCGTGTGTGTGTGTGTGTGTGTGTGTGCTCCTCAGCTGTAAGGAGAGACAGAGAGCTGCAGCTTCTGTGTGTGTGTGTGTGTGTGTGTGTGTGTGTGTGTGTGTGTGTGTGTGTGTGTTTGTGCGTGCGTGCGTGTGTGTGTGTGCGCGTGTGTGTGTGTGTGCGTGTGTGTGTGTGTGTGTGCTCCTCAGCTGTAAGGAAAGACGGAGAGCTGCAGCAGCTTCACTCAGAAGCTACATTTACTTCAATATCCAGAATGATAATGAACCACGCATGCAGGAAACTCCCGCTGGTTTATTCTATCCAGCAGTCGGAAGTTTACCCTAGCAGTAGGCGTGTATTTGAGCCGGCCAATCACTTGGAAGTGGATGTGTTGAACCTGTTCAGATCAAAGTAGACCGCCTTGTTTTGTGGGCAGAAAAACAGACTGGTTGAGCATGGAAAAATAGAAGGCTACCCAGATATGAAGACTTTAAAACCTACCCAGTGCAGTCCATGCTGGCCCAGATGTGAAAGCACCATTATAGCTTATTGGATCAAATCCTGAAGGCTATATTGTGTAGAAAAAAGGCATCTTCCTATTTATGTATGGAAAAACCAGAAGTTAAAATACATTTACAATGCACTGTTACCTGTGCTTTTGTAAATCCCCCGTCTTTAATACGATGTCTGAAGCAGAAACATTGTAGTGACTGTGCCTGGAAAACAAAAAGCACAAAATCCCCAATTTTAGCATACATTTGTTAATAAAAGCCATCAGGAACATAAAAGTAAATGCATTATGTTTACAGTATGTTTACACCTGCATTCAATTTTTCTTCTCTCTGAACACGTGCTGCTTTTACATTTGAATTTACCCACTGTAGGACTCCTGGCTTTCACATGACGTTGAAGATGCAACTTGCAAGTAGGGTTGTCACGGTGTGAAAATGTAACCTCACGGTTATTGTGACCAAAATAATCACGGTATTCGTTATTATCTCGGTATTTTTTTTAAACGTGCTACATTTTCAGACAACTAAATAAACCCTGTATATCAGGAAATATTGTCCTCATTTTGTGTCTAAATTTAGCCTAAAATGTGTTATTTTATAATTATGTTGTTTGTTTACATTTTTCCCCTTTAGTCTTTAAAATACCAATATTTGCCCATAACTTCTTATTTATTGTCTGCTTGACGTCGTCATTTTAAAAATATTAGACCAGATGATACTCAGTACTCAAGTAGCCTTGTAATCAGATACTTTTTTACCCTTACTTGAGTAATAAACCCTATACCAGGAAAGTATTGTCCTCGGTTTGTGTCCTTCCAGTGAGCTTTGCAGATGTGGGGAAAATGTCATCAGGCAGTAATCATTGTTAAATTCATAATTATTCTCGGAGAGAGACCAACTCTTATCTGCCCCTGGGAGCCCCGTAATGCAAAGCGTCATTTCAACATGGCGGTGTCCGCGACACGGTTTATATGCAGGTAGCGGCGCTGCGGCTGCTTTATATAGCGACTCGTTGCATTCTCCCTCAACCCAAATCCTCGGATCACGCATTTTAGCTAAAACGCTAACGTTAGCTTGCCTTGCGTTGACTGTAGAGTTGTGGGTGATGGTCACGCAGATGTGTCATGAGATTTGAAGCGTTGCTGCCTTTCACAGACACTTTTTCTGCACGTGCTGCAAACAGGATAGCCGTCTTCTATCAGCTGTCCCTCGGCATTCTTCATATATCCTAAAGATGCCCGTACTTCCCACTTTGTCTTCTTTGAGGGATAATAAATGTCCTGAGCGCTGCCGTCTCCTCCTTTGGCCATTATTTCAGCTTTAGCTTCAAGAAAGTTTTGGTCGTAAACAACAAAGTGCGCATGTGCCGCCGGCAACTTCAGCAGATGATACGGTGGCTGGTAAGGGTCACCGCACCTACACCGCAGCCACGGTAATCCCACCGAGATAATATAGTTTTTTTTTTACAACAAGACGGTTATTATTATTGTCAACTTTTTTACCAGGGTTTACCGCTACACCGGTTACCGTGACAACCCTACTTGCAAGCAGTGCTTTGCAAGTAGTGGCAGCACCACAAGGTAACACTACGAACTTGTACAATCACCTTAAACGTCACCATAAAGTGCAGTTTGATGAAGCTGTAAAGGGCAAGAAAACAACAGGAGAAAATCCTTCCCGGTCAACCACCCACACATCCATAACGGAGACCTTATACAGTGCTTCTCTATACCTGTCAAACTCCCGCAGGCACAAAGAAATTACGAAGGCTATCACTTATCACCTGGCTAAAGATATGGCTCCTATCAACACCATGCAAAACGAAGGATTTAGGAAAATGATCAACATTTTTGACAAACATTATGCAGTACCGTCCCGCAACTATTTTTCAAATGTTGCACTACCTGCTCCATACACGCAGTGCTGAGCAACGGTGGAAATGGAGTTACAAGCAGTTCAGCATTTTGCGGCAACGACAGACTTATGGTCCAGCTGAACTATGGAGCCATATGGTAAATGGCCTGTATTTGATATAGCGCCTTCTAGAGTCCTGGAACCCCCCAAGGCGCTTTACAACACAATCAGTCATTCACCCATTCACACACACATTCACACACTTGTGGGGATGAGCTACAATGTAGCCACAGCTGCCCTGGGGCGCACTGACAGAGGTGAGGCTGCCGAGCACTGGCGCCACCAGTCCCTCCGACCACCACCAGCAGGCAACGTGGGTTAAGTGTCTTGCCCAAGGACACAACGACAGCGACAGACTGAGCGGGGCTCGAACCTGCAACCTTCCGATTACGGGGCGAGCACTTAACTCCTGTGCCACCGTCGCCCCAAGCGTAGGGTAGATCTCACGAGTCATGTGCTCACTGTACGTCTGGTAGCAACACGTCGGCCCTAAAAATATGTTAAAAATAGCCGTTTTTACTCAACACGTCAGACTTTTTAGTCTTGTTTTGCCTGTTGTCCTTCGGGAGTGCTGCAGGAGGACACACTTCTGCTGCCGATTACGGGGCGAGCACTTAACTCCTGTGCCACCGTCGCCTCCACATCCATACACGAGCCTGACCGTCCACTATGTTACCAGTAACTTCACCATGAAAAGTACGTGCTTACAGACTGCATTTTCCCCCCGAGGACCACACCGGCGAGAACCTAGCACATTGATTAAAGGAGGGTCTTATCTTTAGGAGTTTGGAGGAGGAAAAAAATGGATTCAGTGTTTTGGCCACAGGCTACATCTTGCTCTTTTATCAAAGTTGATTATTTTATGTTGTTTAAAAAAACATGTCATTGATGGTGTATATTATAAATAACAATAGCAGCAGTATGAATAATATAATATTAAACAGTCAATAATATCACCACTGTTATAAACAATAAGTCAATAACATCAATGGTGATACTAAATAGTTAATAAAATAGTTAATATAACAGCTATATGTTATCAATAACAATAATAATTATCCAATAACAATAGTGATACAATAAAATAGTTAATAAATATAATAATTAATTAAAGCTGCAAGCAGCGCCGTTCGGCCCTCGCAGCTCCGCGCCGCTCCGGCCTGGCCGGCAGCCCGGTGCACGTCCGTGAAACAGAAACGCTGACCACCCCGACACCAGAAACCGCAAACGGTCTCCTCGTCTGCACCTCACCCTGACTCAGCATCTCCTCTGAGCCCACCAATAAACTACACATCTCACCACTAGGGGATACTCTATATTTACCACACTGGTGGTGTGATGACACAGACCAAGTTTAATGCTATTCTGACCATGTTTTTGAAGTTACTGAAGGTTAAAGTTAGAGGGGGTGCTGTGACGAACAACAGAAAAATCCCATTGAGGTCAGCTTTGATTGATAAAGATGGTTTTGTGGTAGTTTGGCATCAATCAGACATTGTGTGTGCTTTCTAGAGTCAGAGAGCTGAAAGGGGCGGAGCTAAAGGGATTTGAACCAACAACCACATCAATGTGTTTGGTGCAGTCACGTGATGACAACGCCATTCTGACCTTGTCTTTAGAAGTTAAGTTAGTTAGGCGTTAGTTGGGCATCAAGCATCGATTGGAACCGAGACTAACTGTCCAGCTTGTGATGACACTTGGTTCTGCTCAATAGGAGCTGCTACAGATATTAAGTCAATAAATATAATAATTGGTCTGGCTTAGTCACACCATCGAGAAAAGGTTTAGGGTATTTTGATTAATTTACCTAAGAGGTATTGAAAAAAAAATCCCTTAATTTATGATAAAAATCCTAATAAAAATGATCAGATTGTATGAAAGGTGTTAAAAACTGCTGTGTCTAATTGGTCTAGCTTAGTAAAATTATTGACAAATGGTTTTGGGTGATTAGAGGAATTAACATAGGACCTATTGAAAGAAATCACTTAATTATAGAGGTGTGAATCTTAACTAGTCTCACGATTTGATTCGATTAGGATTATTGTGTCAGCGATTCAATTTGATTTGATATCTCGATGCATCACGATTATTTCATATGGACTTGTTGTCATCAATAAATATATGTTAGATGTTTGCTTTTTTATTCAACAAAAACTTGTATTTGCATAAATATGCAGTAAACAGCTTTCTGATAACAGTCTTTGGGACAGTGTTAAAGTACAAAACATTTGAAGCATTAGTTTGCATTTAAGAGGATTGCACAGCAAAAATAAATAAATAAATCTCTTTCCTCATTAAACATTCATGTCTCAGGCTGTCGGAAAAGCATGTTCTGTAGATGCTAACAAAATATTTAACAACTAAATAACCATATATGAAAAATAATTATTTGGAAAGTTTGAGGTATTCTCTCCTATAACAGTCCTTATACAAAAGTGCAAAACTGTTTAAATTTAAGAGGACTTAAGAACAAAAAATATCTTTCCTTATTTGACATTCACTTCTCAGGCTGTGTGGGAAAAAAAAGTGTTCTTCAGATGTTCGCAAAATCTTTACCAATACTGAAAAATTTCGGAAAATCCACAAATAATACATAACAGTCCTTGGGACAACAAAAAGTGCAAACATTTGAACATTAGCTTGAATTTAAGAGGATGTACTGAAAAGTCATAATGATGACTAGTTAACATTTGGAAGTTGAAGGTTTCTGTGCAAGAACACCAGTTGATCTACATGCTGTAGATCAGTGCACGGCATGAAGACTTATGCATCTGTGCCCCAGACAAGTTGGTTCCCAATGTCAGAGAGACTCGCTTCTCACAAACCCTCTGTCAGGACAGTGTTTCCCCTAGGAATTTTTCCAGCTGTGGTGGTGGTGGTGGTGGTGGGGGGGGGGGGGCTTCGGGAGAAATTATGACACGTCTCTAAATAAAGTAAAAATTTCCAGTGCAGATTGGAGACAACCCATAGAAGCACTGATTTGATCTCATTTCAGAGAAAAATAGAACAGGTTAGATGCACCTAATGAATAAAATTACTAACAAACTCAGGAATGTTTCTTTGCTTCACTGTTCTGGTGCTGAGAATATCACTAATGCTGATCAAAGGAGATACACAGATGAATGCACCTCTTATTTATTATTTGGAGACTACATTTACTGCAGCTGGCAGAGGCAGAGATTGTTTCTATTGATACACGGATTTTACAGAATCATTTTAAATGTTAATAGGGGAAGACTGCAGGAGGGAGCGGTAAAATACAGGGGGTCCCCAGCAAAAACAAGAAACTTTACGAGTCTGATGAAACCCGCTGGTTTTCCATCAGGCAGTCACGGGGCAGCTCCAACGACCCAGTGGCTGTGCTGGGTCAATGTTATCGAGCCCAGTCCGGTACCGGCTCGGCCGTGAACGAGCCGACGTCATGCTCTGCTTAAGAAGAAGTGTTATTTTCCCGCTTCAGAAGAAGCGTCCAACGTGTTTTTACGCTTTCTCCGAAAGATGTCACGTCGCTAAGTTGTTAGCGCCGCGCGCTAACACGTCAATAGTGCAGCGTAGCCTGCTGGAGGTTTTAAGGGTTCAGATGAAAACACCCGACCTCTCACGCTGCTCACACATCGATCTTAAGTTGTCGCTGTTGCGCTCACGCCGTAATACAGTATTAGATGCGGTTTAAGTCAGACATGAAAAAATAAATAAATTTTACATGAATAAGTGATGATTAGCCTGGTGGGGGGAGGAAAACCTGGCCTAATAACCACTGGAGGAAACCCTGTCAAGATCGCCAACACCCATTTATCTTAATGCTATTGAAACATGTAAACCAAAAAGCATTATATCCACTGCTACCTTTCTAATTTTAAACTCAGTAACTTACGCTGAAACTGCACCTTGCTCTGCCTGCTCCTTTCTTCTTGCTGCCCGCCGGCTGTGATCACAAGCGACAACATAGTAGTTCCCGCTGCTTCTTCGGGAAACAGCGCAAAAAAAAAAAAAAAAAAATCAAACTTGGGATCTTGTAGGCGTGACGGTAAGATTTCAGCCGTGGCGGGCCGCCACGGCTACGCCTATGTAAGGGAAACCCTGCAGGAATCTTGGTGTGACCTTTGACCCAGCTCTGTCCTGCTCTGAACTTGAGACTGTTCTCCATACCTTCATCTCCTCACGCTTACCCCTTCTTTCCACCGGAGCCGTCAGCAGCACGTTACTGTAGCAGCACGTCTTGCTCGCGTAAGCTGCTGCTAGGCCCTTCCCACGAGACGTGAAGCAGCAGGGGAGCAACTGTCACCGACAGAGCATGAAGTCACACGAGTGACTTAGGGCCCTGTCCACACATAGCCGGGGATCTGCCAAAACGTAGATATTTTCCTACGTTTTGGCCTGTCATCCACACGAAAACGGAGTTTTTTCACATGAAAACTGATCTTTTTAAAAACTCCGGCCAAAGTGAAGATCTGCGTTTTCTCCGTTTTGGGTGTCTGCGTGTGGACAGACAAAACCGGAGTTTTAAGGTCCGCAACGTCACTTTCCGCGACAAAAAAAATGCTGACATCACGTGTGCGACCTGTGTTTACACTAGCCGGCATCATGGAAGCCCTCAGAGCTGCGCTCGGTCACTACCCGATCCATCGATTGTCCAAGCGCTTTTTGCTTGTTTGTTTTTGCAAGCGGAATTACTGCTCCTTGCGAAAGACCACAGACGAAGGACGAGGTTAAGAACGGGGGAAGTACTGCCGCCTACAGGTCTGGCATGTCCTTAACAACGTATTTATCCGGGTACGTGTGGACAGTTTGTTTTTAAAACGTGGTGGTGTGGATGCAAGTTTTTGGAGGGGCGGATATTCGTTTTTAAAACCCCCGGCTACGTGTGGACTAGGCCTTAGTCAGTAAACACAACAACAAACAGGAGAAAACTACAACATGGCTCCAAAATGTTTGCGTTTTATGTTCTGTCCGTTTTATAATCGCCAACATGGACCTGAAACACAAAGGAGACCGCTAGCTAGGTGATAACTTCTCACGGGGCCGCACTTAGTAACTTTTTTTTAAAGTAAAGCAATCGGAAGGCAGTAAGTTTCTTTATTCTGAAAATCTCAGGAAGCTTCGCTCCATTTCCGCGTCCGATTTCCTGTCATTCCTTCCCCAAAAATGTCAAACTTGACCCGTTTCAGAGGCGTCGCGCGTAAATAATATAACTCCTGAGACGCGGCCGACTCACGCTGCTGACGGCTCCGGTGGAAAGGGTTAGACCAGTGGTTCCCACACTTATTTAGCCGCGCACCCCCTTCTATGTCCCGACCATGTCGACGCACCCCCCCCCCCATCGGGGCATGGCTCTATATATATATTAGATGTCAAGCTAAACAGACAGGGTTAAAAAATTCCCCATCACTTTCATTTTTTAAATAGTAATTAATAAATATTCGATACCATTACAATTTCCTTTGATTTAATTTTAAATAAATATTTAGAGTGCCCAGGTAGCACATAAACAATGCCGTTTAACGGTTTTCTTAAAGTAGGAACGTTTAACCTGTGCGGCCAGAGCGCTCTCCTTCCTTCTGCTCTGCGTAAACCTGAGCTGATCACCTACTTGTGTGTAATCAAATGTCTATAGGGGAAAATATGGAAAAGCCACGAGGTTCGCTTTTGCCTCAGACCGACTTATTGCTGTTTTATGGTGTGGCTGAATCTGCGATCCACTGCCACGCTGACTGGAATAACACATGCTGCAGTAACAGGACTTGTGGTCAGGTTCATGAGGAGTCACTGGCTGGAGCGGACCCGACTCATCCCAGAAGCTAATATCTTAATTTGACCTTGAATGAAAAATAACCTCTTAAAAGTTTTTATCGTGGTGGAGGCAGCGTTCATTTCTGCCTTCAGTCTGACGGCGCGCCGGAGTTAAAGCAGCGTGTGCACTTATTGAATCTGTGTGTGTGTGTGCGCGCGGCACAGCCGCTCAAGTCACCGCGTCTCGCGCTATTTAAACCAATGTTGTAAAGTGACTTCTGCCCAGCCCAGATGTGCTCACTTGTGCACCCGTGAGCCGTGGTTCTGCTGGAACGCGTCTGACCTCTGACAGACGCACTCTGAACTTCAGATCTTCAGCGCGCTGTCAATAGCCTGAATGGGAATCATTTCTTGTTATTTAGTTACATCCACGATGTTCTGTGTGTGAGGTTTACAATGTCAGAACACCTGCATGAGACAGGTGTTCATTACAATCTGCCAGAATGACTCACCTTCAGATTTCTCCAACACCGTTAAAAATGATCAAATACGGAACATATCGGCGTGCGCAGGCCAGAGTGCTGAAGCTCGGCGCATTGTTATTATGAACTAGGGCACATGAGGAGGACACGCGCACGCGCAAAAATATACTTGTTTTCAATTACATTTATTGGGCCCACTTACTTTTTCTTTGGCCCACCCACAAATGAGTTTCTACGCTAATGGTGACATATGACAGACTTCTCTGAGCTCCGCAGCCATTACACTTTTCACCTCGCGCACTCCCTAACGGCAGCTCACGCACCCCCAGGGGTGCTCGCACCACACTTTGGGAATCCCTGGGTTAGTCTACTGCAACTCTCTTTTCACGTGTCTGAGCAGAACCTCCCTGAACCGTCTACAGGTGGTTCCGAATGCCTGTGCTCGGCTTCGTCCAAACACACCCACATCACCCCGCTTCTCCTCCAGCTTCACTGGCTGCCTGTCACCTTCAGGGTTCATTTCAAGATCCTGGTTCTGGTCTATAGGGCCTTACATGGACAAGCACCATCTTATGTTGGTGATCTTCTTAGTCCCTACACCCCCAGCAGGTCCCTGAGGTCCAGTGATCAAAGCCTACTGGTTGTGCAGCGCACCAGGCTAAAGGTCAAAGGTGACAGATCATCTGCTGCTGTGGCCCCCAGACTCTGGACCTCTCTCCCCCTGAGCCTGAGATCAGTGGACTCAGTGGTCTCCTTTAAAAAGCAGCTGAAGACTCACTTGTTCAGGCTGGTTTTTGTGCTCTCCCCACCTATTCCATCTTCCTCAGGATCCTCACCTATTCTCTCTCTCTCTCTCTCTCTCTCTCTCTCTCTCTCTCTCTCTCTCTCTCTCTCTCTCTCTCTCTCTCTCTCTCTCTCTCTCTCTCTCACATCACAACTGTCTATTTTTTGCTCATTTGAAATATATTTTTAATCTTTCTCTAAATATTTTTTTTAATATTTTTACATTTTTTGTTTTTGTGAAGCGCCTCGTGATTTTTATCTTGAGAGGCGCTATAGAAAAGATCTTTTCTTCTTCTTATCGCTGACCGGGGGAACCAATGTCTGTCGAATATCCAACGTCCAACTTCAAGCTAACTTCACCGAGGTAGCCTACTGAGGGTCAGTGCGAGACTTGCTCCATATCCAGTGGTTTATGAGCAGAGATCCTAATGAAACTATCTGAATGAGTGTCAGCAGTGGGCTGAGGCCAGCTGACTTAGTGAGTCCATCCAGCACAGGTGCAGATGTTTAAGAGCTCACGCCTGAGGTGGAGACAGGTAGTGTGGCTGGCTACTACGGGCCCACGCCACGCAGACGGGACTCGTACACAAACAAAGCTCCGCAGGAAAGGAAAAGTTGAGTAGTATCCCTCCTGCAGCTCCACAGAACTCCGGTAACTCAAAGCTAAACACAACATGATAAAAGCACCAAGCCAACGTCTCAGGACTTCCCCGGAGGGGACTTAGTTTGGACCCACGCGTCTAAGTTTAGGAGCCGAGCAGGCTGCATTAGTGGGAGAACTACAGGCTGAACACGGACACCGAGCCAAACACGGCCGCTGCCTATCGTACTGTTCCCCTTCTTATCACAAATGTAGAATATCCCCTAAAGGCCACAACGCTCAGCGGCAGACTGCGTCCGAAGACTTTAATTAGCGGTTATTCTACACCAAATTAAAGCCCCTAACCACACGAAGACGGCCAAAGTTACAGAGAATAAAACAAAGTCTTACTACGAGCTCGGAGGATGGTCGGACAGCGTCCCGTCAACATCTGACTTGGAGAAAAGAAGCTGGAGTTGAGAAAAGACACAAACATCAGAAACATTTGGCTTCCTCCTCTCCGATGGCGGCCATGACACTCCATCCGGGTATTGTCGCGTCTCGACTAAGAAAAACGGATCAGAGTGTAACACCAGCTCAGTGCCACGCTGGTGCTTGTTATTCACAGAAAACAACTTTTACTTGAACTAAAACGCGTTCAGCATAACTAAAAGTCCCCAGGAGCGTCTCAGTGTTTTCGAGGCTTCTGCTCTACGTCATGCCAACCCTACTTGTGCGCGCGTGCGCGTAGCTAGGTGGAAGCTGTGAACACTAATGGCGGACGCAGGCTATTGCCAGCAAAGCGCCCTGCTTGACCACCGTGTACTCCTTTGGGTTTGACTGTGGCTTAACGCTGTTACTGCCTTCTATTGGGTGGAGTCACGTGTCTTTGTCTCCGAGTCTTGTACACGTACAGACGAACAGTTATGGCGGATCTAAAGCTCATTGTTCCTCTAATACCAGCACCATCACAACATCTGTTGAAATATGAATTGGTTTTAGTGGTGGGCTCTAAGATCTTTGATTTGATTTCTCTCTACTGCCTTAATTGTGTTCATTTGTGTTTGTGTGCATGTGTGTGCTTTTTGTTACCACTAACTGGGGCACTAATCTGTCCCACAGACATCAAACCTGACATTAGAGCAGCTTTGTTCTTTGTTACACCTGATGTGTCATGTCATGAGGGGAAAATCACAATATTTAAAGAAAATACAGAAGCAATGGAAGACATGTTTATATGAAACCATGTAACTCACTGCCTGTCAATGCATCATACTGGTGTGCAGCATTGGGCAAGTTACTTAAAAACTAATGCATTATTTATCGTTACCCTCATTTAAAAGCAATTCATTACATTACAATATTACTGATTTTAAAATGTAAGGCATTACACTACTTTTGCATTACTTTAAGTTACTTTCACCATTACAACATTAAAGAAGAAGAAAATATCATTTCTATAGCGCCTCTCAAGATAAAAATCACGAGGCGCTTCACAAAAACAAAAAATAAAAAAATTGTAAAAATATAAAAAAGCATTTTGAAAATGTTTAAAATATATTTAAAATGAGCAAGAATAAGCTATTGCGATTTAAAAGAAAAAATGTTAAGAAAGAGAGAGAGTGAATAGGAAAGAGGGAAACCAGTGGATCCTGAGGAAGGTGGAATAGGTGGCGAGAGCAGAATAAAGAGAGAGTGGTGAAGAAGGTCCAGGGTTTCCCTTACATAGGCGTAGCCGTGGCGGCCCGCCACGGCTGAAATCCCACCGCCACGCCTACAACATCCCAAGTTTTATTGATGTTTTTTTTTTTGCACCGTTTCCCGAAGAAGCAGCGGGAACTACTGTGTTGTTGCTTGTGATCACAGCCGGCAGGTAGCAAGGAGGAGGAGGCAGGGCAGGGTGGTTACAGCTATGAGCGTACGGATAAAGTATTTTTGACGAATACGAGCATGAAACGAGTGTAAAACTCGTAAATATCTGTAATCGTGCTGAATGAAATCCTCATTGGGTAACTGACTTTCTTCACGCTCTGTGATTGGCCAGTCAGATAGAGTGCCCGCCCCTCCCTATACACAAAACTGCAACCGGGAGCTCCGTCAGCTCGGCCCAGGCATCAACGCACACACACAGACAGTAAAGCTGGGCGTACACTGTGCGACTTTTTCACTTTTTTGAGCAGATTTTCCACTTGTGCGAGAATCCACAAGATCGGGGCGAGTTTTGCGCTGAGCGTCGTGTAGTGTACAGGGGGTTAAGAGAGGCGATTAACACCACGTGACCAGCTACCGATCAGCAATCGTGAGCTCGCACGGACTTCTGGAGTGTTTGATATTTATCTGGTTCCTCATGAGGGTTGAAGCGGCGCAGCGAGCGGCTGCGACCCAAAAAGTATCAGAACCGCTCACGGCGCATGCGCAATCCTGCATCAACGCCGCTCCCCGCTATTTCCCTAATAACACACGTTGTTCGTTTTTGTTTCTGCACGTTTTTTTTTTACTCACAATGATTGTCAAGAAAGCGTGTTTGTCGTGTTCATGTCAAATTAAACTGATCACAAAACACAGATTTACTTTATTTTGTTTCCTCATCCAACCCCCATAAATCCCTGTGTGTCCTCCTGCAGCACTCCCGAAGGACAACAGGCAAAACAAGACTAAAAAGTCTGACGTGTTGAGTAAAAACTGCTATTTTTAACATATTTTTAGGGCCGACGTGTTGCTACCAGACGTACAGTGAGCACATGACTCGTGAGATCTACCCTACGCTTGGGGCGACGGTGGCACAGGAGTTAAGTGCTCGCCCCGTAATCGGAAGGTTGCAGGTTCGAGCCCCGCTCAGTCTGTCACTGTCGTTGTGTCCTTGGGCAAGACACTTAACCCACGTTGCCTGCTGGTGGTGGTCGGAGGGACTGGTGGCGCCAGTGCTCGGCAGCCTCGCCTCTGTCAGTGCGCCCCAGGGCAGCTGTGGCTACATTGTAGCTCATCCCCACCAGTGTGTGAATGTGTGTGTGAATGGGTGAATGACTGATTGTGTTGTAAAGCGCCTTGGGGGTTTTCAAGAACTCTAGAAGGCGCTATATCAAATACAGGCCATTTACCATTACGCTGAAGTCGTACAGTTTGAGCTGAATCTGTGTTACGAGTGAAAAAGTAGCAGTGTCCACCCAGCTTATTATAATTGTTACGTCCCCGACAGGAGATGTTAAAATGTGAAGGAGGGAGTAACATAAGAAATACGACTTTTACGACGAAATTGTGATAAAAGGTTCTAAAAACAAGAGCAAACAGATGGCGAGCATTATTAAAATAATGCAAAACGAAAAATTTACTATAAGGTTAACAGTTAAAAGACAAATTATCAACTATATGAAACACCTGGTTAAAACTTTATTAAAAGTTTTACTTAAACTGAAGGTGTTTTAAAAACACAACGACGTTGATAAAAGTCTAAAAATTAAATCCGAGTTAACCTTAAAACACAGTCAACACTAGGTGACATACACAAAAGATCCATGTGGATCACTCAGCGTTAAAACTATAAATTAAAACTCATCACAACGACGGGGTTAAACCAAACGAGACCTGGAGAACAGCAGAACCCCTGCACTGCTGTCTCCCAGACTTCTTCTTCTTCTTCCTTTCCGGTTTAAATGGCGGGTGGCAACCAACTTAAGGTGCATTACCGCCACCTACTGTGCAGGAGTGTTAGTCAGAGCGAGGAGAAAAAAATATATATATATATATAGAAAAATAATAAAAAACTAAATTCACCTAAATACCTTAATTTTCCTAAGAAACTCCAGCACCAACTTATAATTGGACCCACTGCCATTCAACAACGTTCTCAAATTCCAAATGCCACATCCTTTATCTTTCAACCTATCTATAAATTCACCCCTAATTACATCAAACTTACTACAAATCACAAAACATGTTCTACCGTTTCCTGTTCTGTCCCACAATCACAAAAACCTGTTTGATGTTTTCCCAAAATATGCAAAGTGCTGTTCAATCCCGAATGTCCTAATCTCAATCTCGTTATTATTGTTTGTTCCCTATTATGTAACTCCTTAAACGACCTTTTACCTACTACGTTCTGTATATTAAATAAATGTCGGCCCTTTTTATCCCTTACCCACATGTCCTGCCATTCATTCATAATTCTATCCTTAATCATTGACTTCACTTCGTTACTGCTAAAAGGGATCGGTTTCACTACTTCTAACTTTACTGCTTGCTTTGCGTAATAATCTGCTAATTCATTACCTTCTATACCCCTGTGCGCCGGTACCCACATAAATCTTATTTCAATCCCTAAGGCACACAACTGAAATAGGCATTCAAATATTTCTAGAAAAATATCAACTCTATTTTCATTACTTCTTGAATGAAGTGCCAACAAAACTGATAAAGAATCCGTACATATTATACAATTTCTAAATTGCTCAATCCAATCCAAACAAAAATAAATCGCCAGCATTTCAACTGTAAAAACTGACATACCATCTGGAGTTCTAATTTTCACCCCTTTACCCACCACTGGAATATAGAAAGAACAACCCGTCCTCCCACTCACAGAGTCTTTCGATCCATCTGTAAAGACTGGAATACAATTTTTATGAACACTATCTAACCTATCATTCAAAATACTATCCCAATTACCTTTGCCCTTATTCATACACATCATATTTTTAAGATAAAAGTCAATATCACACCTAGGAAAAAGCCAATATGGAGTCACTGAACATAAAAACTTATTTACAAATGTAATACCAGTTAAGTTATACCCTTCTGCTAATGTGGTTGCTTTCTCAAGCACGCAATCACCACGTCCAAACCCATATTCCCCATACAAAGACAATACATCTTTAACCAAATGGTCATCCCGTGAACACCCTTGAATACTAGCCCAATAGTTCAGTAAATTTTTCTTAAACCTCAGTCCTATTGGCGTTTCTCCCATTTCAACTTGCAGAGACGCTACAGGTGACGTTTTAATCGCCCCACAACAAATTCTCAAGGCCTGATTTTGTATTTTTTCAATCCTCAGCAACAAAGTTTTACATGCCGAGCTATACACAATACTCCCATAATCCAGTACCGATCTAATCATTGTTGTATATATATGTTTCAAAGCTTGTACACTAGCACCCCAAGCATAACCTTTTAGACACCTCATGACATTTAAAACTTTTTTACATCTTTCCTCAATATTACACACATTTTCTCTCCAAGTTAACTTACTGTCAAAAACAACCCCCAAATATCTAAAACTGTTCACCTGTTCTATGATCTCACCATATAAATGGAGATTCATTTCCACCTTTCTTTTCTTCGTAAACACCAAACATTTTGTTTTAACAACCGAGAACTTAAAACCCCAATCATACGACCATTGTTCTACCTTGGAGATTTCAGCTTGCAATTTCTGTTGCACGTGTCTGACATTTCGTCCTCTTTTCCACAACATCCCATCATCCGCAAATAGTGCCCTGCCAAAATCATACCCTACGTTGTCAAAAACATCATTAATCATAATAGAAAACAACAACGGACTAATTATACTGCCTTGAGGCGTTCCATTCTCAACTAAATAACATTTCGATACGACATTCCCTATTTTTACTCGTATAGATCTACGAAATAAAAATTGTTTAACCCAATCATAAACCCTACCAAATATCCCCAACCTCTGTAATTTTATTAATAATCCTTCCTTCCAAACCATATCATAAGCCTTTTCTATATCAAAAAATACCACCACCAAACTTTTGCCTCCCAGACTGCTGAAGGGACAGCCTTTTTATCCCAGGTGTGGCTCATCAGGAGGATTCAGTTCAGCTGTGCTCCTCAGCAGCCTGGAAGAGAGGAGGAGGAGGGGTGGTGTCCAGTCAATCAACAAAGCTGGGTGATCCTGGCTGCTTTTTCCCTCTTCAGGCTGGCAGCCGTGACAATAATGTTCACTGTAATACATCTTGATGTTCTTAACAAATAAATTTAATCAAAGATATTGGTCAATAATGCCAAATATGTAAATTTGTGTTTCAGTCATACTGGCTTAAAAATAATTCATTAAGTCTACTAAGCAGGGGTGTAGAAGGTGTTTAACAGGGCCAGCCCAGTAATGATGTTGGACCAAAATAAAGGGGGCAGAAAGTCAAATAAAGGGGGCAAAAGAAGATGTTTTTCCAGACGCCAAGAAAAATTAAATGCCAAATCCCCCCTGCAAAGTGTGTCACTGAGAGTTTAAAACAGAAATTATTCTTGTGCAAATATTGGTGTACTCACCTTTAATACTAGTTATTACAATGCAGCAGTCGCTGGATTGGTGCAGTTCAAAGTGGAGTGCATCAAATAAAACAATATTAACATAAAGGTGAGACATGTCATGACCCCCCCCCCCCCCCCCCCCCTCCGCCAACACCACCTCCACCACAGCTGGAAAAATTCCTAGGGGAAACACTGAGGTCATACAAAAGCCAGCTTGAACAAGTGAGTCTTCAGCTGCTTTTTGAAGGAGACCACTGAGTCCACTGATCTCAGGCTCAGGGGGAGAGAGTTCCAAAGTCTGGGGGCCACAGCAGCAAATGATCTGTCACCTTTGGTCTTTAGCCTGGTGCGCTGCACAACCAGTAGGCTTTGATCACTGGACCTCAGGGACCTGCTGGGGGTGTAGGGACTAAGAAGATCACCAATGTAAGATGGTGCTTGTCCATGTAAGGCCCTATAGACCAGAACCAGGATCTTGAAATGAACCCTGAAGGTGACAGGCAGCCAGTGAAGCTGGAGGAGAAGCGGGGTGATGTGGGTGTATTTGGAGGACTTGGTCAGAAGCCGAGCACAGGCGTTCTGAACCACCTGTAGACGGTTCAGGGAGGTTCTGCTCAGACACGTGAAAAGAGAGTTACAGTAGTCTAAGCGTGAGGAGATGAAGGTGTGGAGAACTGTCTCAAGTTCAGAGCGGGACAGAATGGGACTCAGCTTAGCAATGTTCCTGAGATGGAAGAAGGAAGAGCGAACAAGAGAACTGACATGAGAATCCAGGGTGAGAGCTGGGTCAAAGGTCACGCCAAGATTCCTGACGGAAGGTTTGGTGTGGGAAGCAAGCTGACCAAGAGAGTCTCTGACTTTGGGAGCTTGTCTGGGGCACAGATGAGGGTCTCAGTCTTATCTTCATTAGGCTGAAGAAAGCTCCCAGCCATCCAGGCTTTGATAGAGTCTAAGCAGGTGTGTAACAGCTGCAGCTTAGACATCTCATGGGGCTTAAAGGAGATGTACAGTTGGATGTCATCTGCATAAAGATGGTAAGAGATTCCCTTGAAGGAGCTCAGGATGTGCTGAAGAGGAAGCAGATAGAGAAGGAAATCAGAGGCCCCAGCACAGAACCTTGTGGGACACCATGGGTAAGAGAGGTGGTGGAGGACCTAAACTTGGAGACGGCCACAGAAAAGGAGCGCTCAGAAAGATAAGAGGAGAACCACTCCAGAGCAGATCCTGATAGGCCGACCCAGTCTCTCAGCCTCTCCAGTAGCAGGTGATGGTCAACAGTGTCAAAGGCTGCAGTCAGGTCCAGCAGGACCAGAACAGAACAGTCTCCTGCCTCACTGTGAGTCAGAAGGTCAGAGACCCTAAGAAGAGCTGTTTCAGTAGAATGAGCTCTACGAAAACCTGACTGGAAGCTATCATAGATGTTATGTTCATCAAGAGCAGCTGTGAGTTGTTTAGCTACAACCTTTTCCAAGATCTTGGAGATGAACGGACGTTTGGAGATGGGTCTGAAGCTGCTATGGAGAGAGGCGTCGAGACTCGGTTTTTTAAGAAGCGGGTGGATTACAGCGTTCTTAAAGTAAGCAGGAACCTGACCAGAGACCAGAGAAGCATTAATTATAGAGAGCACGCTGGGACCGATGGACTGAAAAGCACTTTTAAACAAAGATGAGGGTAAGATGTCGAGGGGGCATGTAGAGGTCTTCATAGAGTTAACTAGTTTGGTTAACTCAGGCAAAGAAACAGGAGCAAAGCTATCTAGGATGATGGGCCTGGTTGGAGTCGGGAGAGGTGGCGATAAGGCTGAAGGAGAGATGCTAGATCTAACCTTATTGACTTTGTCCACAAAGAAAGACAGAAAGTTCTCACAGTCTGCAACAGAGTGGATGGAGGCTGTAGGAGAGGCAGGAGAGACAATGCTGCTGATGGTGTTAAACAGCACCTTGGGGTTCCCTTTGCTCTGGGACACCAGGTTGGAGAAATAGGAAACCCTAGCGTCTCTGACTGCAGAGTTAAAGGATGTCAGAAGATCCTTTAGGTGCAGCAGATGGACGTGGAGATGGGTTTTCTTCCACAAACGCTCAATTTTTCTGCACTGGCGCTTCAGGCTGCGAAGGCTGTCATTAAACCAGGGAGTAGAGTTCACTGCAGGAACTGATCTGGTTCTGACAGGACAGATGTTGTCCAGAATGGAGAGGCAGTGCTCGTTGAACTGAGAAGTTAAGGAATCTGGGTCGTTATCAGAAGAACAGGGTGGATCAAAAGCAGCAGAAAAATTGCTAGCTGTGCTCTCATTAAAGAGCAAGTAACGTCTAAATTAACTTTTTTTTGCTGATGAACTGTATAAATGAGTGTCTAATAGTGTTTTAAATGTGTGTATTCATTATTTTAGTATTTTGGTGCATTTTCTTTAAAAATTAAATATTCAGCCTAAAAACCACAGTAATGCGCCACCTTCAGCTTAAAACACAGAATTTGACACATTTTGAATAAATTTTAGCCAATGGCTAAAGAGTAAGATACTACGTAAACCAGTAGAGTACTACGTAGCAGCTCTTGTGCCAAAGTTATAAAAGCAAGGAGAGTCTCGGCCACGCCTTGTGGCGAGTTGGGAGTTGGATTTGCAAGTGAGTGTCGGACGGTTAGCGGTAGTTCAGCATTAGCATATAGCATTAGCATATTATAGTCTTTAGCATAGCTTTTAGTGTTATAAATACTTATTTAGTGTTAGCTTGGCTGTTAGATATTGTAGTTTAGTTAGTGTTTGGCTTTTAGTGTTACTAGGAAAGTAGTTCGGGTTTAGTGTTCCATATCGTGTTAGTACTTATTTAGTGTCAGCTTGGCTGTTAGATATTGTAGTTTAGTTAGTGTTTAGCTGTTAGTTTTATTAGGAAAATAATTCAGGTTTAGTGTTCCATATAGTGTTAGTATGGTTAAAAGGTGTAGTGTAGTTGGTTGTGGTAGCTCTGTGGGGTTGCACTCCTTTCCACTGGACTTAGAAATTAGGCGCCAGTGGTTGCGCGCAATCGGTGTACAGGATAACAGTCAGCTCCCGCCTGGTGCTGTAGTCTGCAACCAGCATTTTACCCGCGATTCCTTCGCCAACATGATGGAGTTTGAACTGGGTTATTCTGCACGTCTCCGTTTGAAGAGTGAGGCCGTGCCCACCGTGGCTCTTCCACGAATTAGATGCAGCCCACCGACTCTGCTCCCCCACCATGGCGGGCTCCAGTCTGAGGTGAGTAAGCTAAATAAACGTTTTAACATCTTCTAAAGACAATTCCCTACCTAAATGCAAAGTTTGAGAGACGTGGTTCACTTCCTTTAGCTAATATCAGCCTGCACTGCCTTCGGGCTAAATTGTCAAGTTCACAAAATGTGGAACGGGATGTAAGGTTAGAATCAGCGGCGAATAGGAACATTTCTCGAAGCCCTGGCCGACAAAAAGGTCCACATGACTATTTCTGTCAGGCTCGGAGAAAATCCGGGTTGTTTTTGTGTCAGTCGGTAATTCAGCAACAGTGGCTCTAACGCAGCACTAGTTGACAGACATCATTACAGCGTGAAATCCAGCTTTACACCAAAGCCTAACCCGGTTCTGTGAGGAATTCTGTTCAGGAGGTCGCATTTCAGGTTCTTCACATCATATGTGACTGACTTTTACGTTATAATAACGATCACACACTAGGAATGTCATAAAGCGCCTATATATATATATATATATATATATATATATATATATATATATATATATATATATATATTTCGGACAGTTTCTTTTGTATATTATCTGACTTTATAAACAACAACAACAATGTGCTTCTATTTTTTTTTTCAGGCTAAATCTACCCAAGACGTTGGCTGTCAGACTGATTTAGTAATCTGCAAAAATGCACTTGTCCAGGCTCATGTAAAGCCTTATCGACGTAGCAAAGGTGAATTATTTTTAATAATCTTCTATGTAAACATTTTATTATTACCTTCTAGTTTTTATTTGTTTTGCAGATTATTGTTACACGTGATTTTATGCTCTTTTAAACATTTATAAATGTGCTGCTCCTTTGTATTTTACATAGCCACCCAGTTTAAAGCTCACAGCCGCAGTGTGTCTTGTGACACAGGGACCGTGACGGAAATTCATCTTCCACAAAGTCCCAGAGCTGCGTCCACACCCCTGAAAAGACCACGATATGAGGTGTCTGTTGTTGATCCCAGCTTCCACCTCAATGACAGTGGAAGCTCAGTGAACTGTTCAAGGTAAAAAAAAATTATAACATTTTAGAATTTTTTAGTTATGACCATATATATATAAATGTATGTGTTCTATACAGCTCTTTCACTGAGGTCCATCCACAAAAGGACAAGAAGTACATTGTTCATGAGAAACAGTTGCTGGGGCTGTTCAGAAGGTGTCCCGTTTGTACCGGTCGTTGTGTTGTGAACACGACAACAGTCGGCACACTGCTCCGTGTGACACAACGGTGTTCATGCTGTGAGCACTACAATGAGTGGTCCAGTCAGCCCATGGTGAACAGCATCCCAGCAGGAAACCTCCAGCTCTGTGCTGCTGTCCTTTTCACAGGCTCATCATTTAGCCAGATTTCTAAGGTATAGGCCAAAACTGTTTAGGTTGGTTTTGATAAGGTCTGTGCGTCTCTCATTTCATGACGTAACTTTTCATATTTTAGTTCCTGGGTGCCTTCAATGTGCAGGGACTGTCCAAGCAGACATTCTTTCGACATCAGGCAAAGCTGTTAATCCCAACAGTGAGCTGGCAGTGGCAGCTAGAGCAAGCTGATATCATCCAGGAGGCTACTGAATCTGGACCTGTGACTCTTGGTGGTGACATGCGAGCTGATTCACCTGGTGAATACTTTTAAATTTATTTATTTTATTCCTTTGCTATCAAATGTAAATTAAGTAATAACTTGCATTTCTTGAAGGACACTCAGCCAAATATGGCAGCTGCACCATGATGGATCTCAAAAGAAACAAAGTTACTGATATCCAACTTGTACAGGTACAACATTACCTGATGATTCCAATGCATTTCATGGTTAATTATTCACAGATCAATGGAGAATTATGTTTATTTTCAGAGCAATGAAGTTGGAAATAGTGTGCGAATGGAGAAGGAGGGATTTGTGAGAAGTCTGAGCACACTTTTGGAGAGGGGGGTCGATGTGCAGCAAGTCGTGACTGACCGCCACACAGGAGTGCAGAAGTATTTGCGGGAGGAAAAAAAGGAAATCAGTCACTACTTTGACCCCTGGCACATGGGAAAAGGTAATCTTTGTGGATGTATATAGTGAATATTACAGGATTTTTTTTTCTATTTTAAATGTGGGTCTGTTTGGCTCTCCAGGAATTGGTAAGAAAATCGAAGAGCTGGGGAAGAGAAAGACGACCCAGGATGTGAGACTGTGGAAGCAAAGTGTGGTGAACCACCTCTACTGGTCAGCATCCAGTTCCTCCTCAGGACAGGAGGCAGTAGCAAAGTGGACTTCAGTTGCCAACCACATCCAAAATGTGCACAGCCATGACAACGCCCTGTTCCCTAGCTGTCTGCATGCACCTCTGGATGGAGAACAGGCAAGACAGTGGCTCAAACCAAGTAAGTGTAGCATGTACTCATTACAGCTGAGCCTTTACTGTTTGGTTTCTTTACATTTAAAACACGTCACCCCACAACAGAATATTTGTCTTCACCTCCTTCAACATGGAGAAATATTTTTGGAGCATGAGAGTTACAGACGTCACATGTGGCTGCTAAGGTCACACACCACCATTTGGCCAACAGCAATTAATTACTAAGAATAAAATGCTGTGCAGAAATTTAAACAGAAGAGTGCGCCACACAACTCATGGTTTTAGGCAGAACAGCCATAATTGACATAATATGTACTAAAATGCCGTAAGTAATTACCACACCTGTCTACAGCACTATTAGTCACTCTTTCATACATTTGTCATCTAAAAATGTCAGCTATGGGTAACTTTTTCTCAATGGAAATAATAGCAACATTCTAAAGTTGATCAAATTGTAATTTTTGTAATTAACATTTTCTACGTAGGCACAGCATCATGTGAGAAGCTCACTGCCATTCTGTTAGCTCCACGGTTTGTGAAGGACGTAGAGAAGATAAGCCCTCAGTACCACACATCCACCTTGGAGGCTTTCCACAGTCTCATCATCAGATTTACTCCAAAAAGTCAGGTCTTCTCCTTCAAAGGAATGCTGTCTAGGTAATGAATACAACAAATGTTCAAATTAATGCCTCTAATTGTTCAAATTTTAGCATGAAATGTAGAATTTTGCCTCAAATCTACATGGTTTGTTTATTTGATTATTTCAGATTACAAATTGCTGCAATGCACTATAATGAAAATGCAGCACGCTCACATGCAGCAACAGCAACTGGTGAGCTGAGATATGCTGTAGTGTACCCAAAGTACAAACATGGAGACTACACAGTGAGAGCCCTGAAGACCAATCCAACCTCATGTATGTCATATATTGTATGATAAAACCAAAATGATGTCATGGAGAGCTATTGTAATACTGAAAACCCTTTTCCAGTATATGTGCACAAGCTTATAGATCTGCTGTTCGACTCTGTGGTGGTGGATCCTCTCCCATATCAGGAGTACTCGGACAAAATTCCGGTTCCAGAACCGCTCTGTGCCCAGTTCCAAAGACCAGATAAACGGGATGCTGTGAGCAGGCACAGGTCCAGGTTTTAAAGTGCACGTAAGGTGAGCTACACAACAAGAGATTGTAATTATTAGTTAGTACTCTACTCTGTGTGGTTTTTCCTTTTCTCCTCCTCAGCCAGGCTGCACACCACTGTACGACAGAGGAGTTACCTGTCGTCATTATGGATCTTTATGCTCATCCACTCGTGACTCATGCTGTCCACCTCCCAGATGTCTATTGATCTCTACAACCTTTCTGCTCTGTGGCTCCCATACAACTTGAAAATCTTGGCCGTATGTAACATAACAAAACTCACCAGTCTTGCTTTTGTAAGTCATACTAGTCATACTAATATTACTTTTTTCCTCAGAGCCTCCTGATATTGTTACAGAAAAGCCTGTGCTCCCGGGATCCATCTCCACGTTTGTCATCACAGTGAAAGCTACCTCCAGTCTAAGGAACCAAAGAAACATCACTGATGGCCCAACCTATCCTCACATGGCTCCAGAATCTCTGCTTGTGGTTTAGAGTTTTGTCAAAAATCATGAAAGTTATGATCAGATTGTAATCTAACGTTGTCTTAGTAGTAGCTATAATAAATGTTATCTTTAAAGCGCAATTGTGTCATTTTAAATACAATTATATTGATATTTTGATTTGTATAAATACATATATCACATTTATTAAATTATCATTCATTTTTACCTAATTGAACCTGCTCTAGAATAGACTTCATTAATCACACAGGGTGTAAACTCACTTGTTACAGCAGCATTAATTAACCCCGAATTAGAACCTTACTGTTGTAAGAGCTCATTTGAAAAGTGTGTGGCTATATGTGTGTATATATAAATAATGTCAAAGTGTAAAGAAGTGCATTTACCGTTTTGTGATTTATGCAGCTTTTTATGGACAGGAATCAATACAGGAAATATATATTATAACATTTATTTAATCCAAAAAATATATATTAGTTCAGAGGAGGGAGGAATCCTTTGTATGCACCGTCTTCTGGGAACTCCTGCCTTATTCTGGAGACAGCGCATGACGGGATCACAACACGAACGTGCTGTCCCAGGTAACCCCAACACCACCTGACCACATTCCGGTACGCCAGATGTCTGTAACAGCTGAGAAAGAGGTGGTATGAGTTATAAAGTATTCATAAAAAAATTATTTTGACAGTTGTCTTACCTGTTGAGCGTAGTCTCCTGCATCTCCCCATAGAGTTGCAGAAAGCTGCCATAAACTGCCTGCAACACGTAGGGATTCAGAGCAACAGCCTCAAAACCAGGATGCTCTGTTATGCAGGAGGTTACACCCACCTGCTGACACCTGAGCATTACCTATGACAAAGAACAACTGATATCAGGGCTATAAGAGTTCAATATTAGTATGATGTTAGTGATTGTGTAACAAATGTGTACATTACAGAATGCTTTTCTCATGGTGGGATACTTTTATTTTTATACCTTGGGCGTTTCTCTGCAGCACACACTTTCTCTGGCAGACAATGATGTGCAGTGGCCAAAGGTGCACCTGTTGAGGCAGTCATACAAAATTACTTTTAGCTAAGCTAAATATAGCTAGCTGTGGCTAAAAGCTACTTACCACTCAGAGACTGGACCCATTATATGCCTTGATACTCCTGCTGGCTCGACTCCAGGGGCCTCTGACAACTCACGAGCTAGTGGCTCAAAAAGATACGGTTCAGGACCGCTTGCTTCCCCCAATAAGCCCTCCTCCCTATCCTCTGGGGAAGAAGGTGGGGAAAAGTCCTCCACCTCGAATGACTGCTCTGAGCTACTGTCGCTCTCCGTCGCCATCTGTATTCAAATTTCAGTATGTCAATCACGGCCGTAGCTCCGCCTTCTCGGTCTTACAGGAAACGCCTCTTTGGGCCGCATTTTTCAAATATGAAATGTGGGTGGAGTAAGACTCTGACAGGGGATTACCACTACTTTAAGAAAACGAGAACTAACCATACGGCAAGCAGGAGGTGGGGACGCAGAAACTGACAAGTTAAAGAAAATGCAATGGTGATCTGAAATATAAACGTCCTCAGGACAAACACTGTCAGCATTTAGACTCAGGGTAAAAACAAGGTCTAGAGTGTGCCCCCTGGTGTGCGTGGGGCCAGAAACATGCTGGGTAAAGCCGAAGGAGTCCATGAGGCTGGAGAAGGCCATGGCAACGTGATCAGAGTGATCATCAACATGGATGTTAAAGTCACCAACAATCACCAGTCTGGACAGCTTCACAGTGGAGGATAGAAAGTCTCTAACTCCTGAAGGAAAGAACTGTTTGGACCAGGTGGACGATAGACCACAGCACAGTAGAACGGGTCCTTACGCCCGACTTTAATCAGCTGCAGTTCAAAGGAAGCAAAGTGACCAGAGGTTGTAGAGCTACATGGAAGATGGTCTCTGAAAACAACAGCGAGGCCTCCACCACGACCAGAACCCCGGGGCTGGCTAAGAAAAGAATAACCACTTGGGCAGAGTTCAATCAGAGCAGAATAATCAGATGTTTGCTGCCAAACTTCAGTCAGAAACAGAAAATCCAGATTTTTAGAGAGAATTAGATCATTGAGCAGGAAGGTCTTATTGTTAACAGAGCGGGAATTTAACAGAGCCATACTGAGTGAGGTGGAGGAATCAGAAACTACACAACCAGCTGGAGTTAGTGGACGTAAATTAGCAGGGTTAGATCCACGGTGTTTATAAAAACCACTTATGGAGGGAACAGGAGGAGAAACCACTGAGGAATGAGGATAAACCAACCTTAAAAAACTTGGACGGATGAACCGTGTCGCAACGCGGCCTGGCGGGAATGCGGAAGTGGCGCTCAGGTCACCAAACAAAGGACAAGAAGCTGGAAGATCGCGCCGATGTTTACCAGATAAACCACGCTTTAAGAGAAGTCTTATTCTCACCTGAATTCCTGCTCGTTTACCTCTTTTCCTCCAACGTTTTCCCGTGACCGGACAAACATCGCTAGAGGTGCGCAGCTCTGGATCGTCGATTGCTTCCGGGCCAGTGCACCGCTCAGGTAAACAAACGGGATGGTATGTCCTCGGTGCATCTTGGGCGATCGTGAACGAACGGAAGGACAAAAGAGTCTGGCGATCATAGGAGATGGTAGCAGAGACACTACTGAAGAGGATCGCAGACAGGAGCAAGGTGGAAATGAGGAGGTTAGTGGAGAAAAGTTTGCCGGTGACCGCAGCGAAGCCAAGCACAGGCGCCATCTTGCCGACCGGAACCTTTTTGAGCGAGTAACGCCTAAATTAAGTGAGTAACGCCTAAATTAACTTTTTTTTGCTGGTAACCTGTATAGATGAGTGCAGGGCCGGCTTTGCCGACAGGCGACACAGGCGGCCGCCTGGGGCGCCATCTGATGGATAGGGCGCAAAACTAAAAACAAAAAAAAAAAGTTTATTCAATTTATGTTTGTTATATGAAATGCACTCTCTACATACTCAGAATTCCCCTCTGAAATGACATGAAATTAAAACATCAATATTTAAATTCTAATGATCTGGCTGCATGACGAGCTCCTGCTTGGGCCACTGCTCCGATGCATTTGACCGTTAAGGGTGCCGTAGATCATGTGCGTGTTTAGCACTGTAGAAGGACATCCTTTCGCGTTGAAACTTTTGATATCTTTTACGATGAAAAGAACACCTAAGCCATCGGGATCAGCATTCCCAAAGCGAAGGAAGGAGGAAGAAAAAATACGGGCCCAAAGCAGAGGTATGTAGACTTTATAAATTTGGCAAAGGAACTTTTTGCGTTACCATTGTAGCTAACTGCCTCTCCTGCCACGCACGGTCCATGGACGGACCCTCGCTAGATGTTTACATACACAATACAGTATCTCATAACTTTAACCAATTCATTTTACTTTTGAATCGTCGTGTCCAGATGCAGTGAGACAATATCTGCAGCCACACAGGCACCTGTTGACACCATGGGGGCGGGACTGTCTTCTACACCTGTTGAGTCTCACTGTGATGATGAAGAATGTAAGATATTTTTTACCGTTTTTTTGAGTATGATTGCAGCCTTTTATGAACTTCAATTCAAGTTTTAAGTATGCATACAATATGAATATAATATTTTCATATCAGAAGAACGTTAGGTGTGGGTGTAGCAAAATTTAAATTTTGTCCGACACATCGGGCGGGCAGCGTGGCAGGGACTCCCCAGCTGCCGCCGGGCCCGGCGGGGAGTGAGAACTGCCTAAACACAGCATGACATCTTATACCGTCTCTTTCTTGTTTACGCTGCAGCGTCTTCTATTCAGGCATCACGCAGCAGCAGCACATTTACTGAGCTACAATCTCAGCATCTAGAACCAGGTGAGTAAGTTACTTGTTAGGCTATTTGTAATCAGCAGTAGAAACTGACTTTTTCAAAGTAAACGGCTTATCACATATATCGATATGCAAAATTAATTTATTTAAATCCACACCAGACACTTGGCACAATGAGTACAGCATTGATTTAACATTGAGAATATTAAATAATCTGAACATACACATCTGAAATTGTCTCCTTAAGATGTTATTGTCAATTAGGCTGTAAATTTGTTTTAAAAAAAAAGGATGGACTTTAGTTTTTGTGACATAGTGAGTTATCTTCAAGGCATAAAGGTTTATGCCCTGAAGAAGGTCGTACCGAAACGCGTCAGCGTTTCCTTGTTTAATAAATTAAATCCTCAGAGTGCCTCAGATCACCGGTTCTTCTTCCTCATATTCTAAAATTTATTTGATGCTGAAGAGCACCTGAGAGTGAGATATACGTTTTTTCAAATATTCCCCATGGATGTGCTCACTTCCACCTGTTTTTGATCATTTTATTCATGTTTTCATAGAACAGATAAAAAAAAATCAATAAAATAAAAAGTCCAGTAACAGTAAAAATAATGAAAAGCATCACTGCACATGACTGAGGAATAATAAATGTGGTAAAAATGAGTATTGGGGATAAATCTACCTACTTTAATTTTCTTTTCAAGCACTTTGTTTTGTTTTCTTGATTTTATTTGAGTAATTTCTTGCCCTTTCTCTCTCTAACCTTCCTGCATGCTGCATCTTTTCTCAGTCTTCCAGAACAAACCATTTCCTAGACTTTCTAACAAATCAGCCAAAGGGATGTACCGAACGCAACAAAAGCCTAATATTTGCTGTGCTGCAGCAGCAAAGAGTTGAAATCATCGGGGCACAGATCATGAACTCAGCTGAGGCAAAGCACGTTAGAAAAGTACAGAAAGTACCAGAGAATATGGACTGATATGAACGACCGCAAGTGAATTATTTTGTTTTGGTGGAGCGATTTTGTGAATGTTACAGCGGCTGCACGCAGGACGCAGCAGGAGTATTTGAGCCGTTACTGCTGCGCCCGCTCTGCTCATAGAATGCCTGCAATGCTGAGTCCATAAATGACGTCATATATGCAGATCTTTTTTTCGGGCTTGCTGCAGTTTGAATTTTTAAGAAATCCACATGAATCTGGGTTTAAAAATGCCTTGTAATTACCGCGTTACTGACAATTGTATCGAGTAAATATTACCACTTTCGCTATACGTGTGTTGCTGCTGCAAGCTTAGAGCTAGATTACATCATGACATCATGATGGAGACTACTGATTCTGGTCCTGTGACACTTGGTGACGTGTGAGCTGATTCACCTGGTAAACAACATGTAAATTAAATATTTTGGTTTTTGCTATTAAAAGTAAATTAACTAATAACCTGCATTATTGCAGGACACTCAGCAAAATATAGACGCTACACCATGAGGCAGGCACACGTTAATAACTCTATAACAGCACATAAGGTGAGCAACACCACATATTATTATTGTTATTACTGTACACTGTCCTGGATTTTTTTTCGTTCTGCATCTCATCATTAGCCTGGCTGATCACCTGATAACTCATGTCATCTGGTTATGACAGCATGAGGATGTCCTCACACACCTGTAACCTATCAGCTCATCTGGCAGAATAGAGAGAGAAGAGACAACACCACATCTCCTGTTCCTGGAAAGCCTTCAGCCATCCTTCGATGACTGAGAACCTCCATCAGCTCTGTCTGCTGTCTGCCTACAATTATTATAATAAATATTGTGTTTGACAAGTTTGTTGTGCTGCCAAATATCTCATTTTGATTACAGTTTTTATATTTTAATGGATATTTTTAAATTACATTAATTGAATTATCACATTGTTACATGTTTAACTAGCTCTATTGTGATGAATTAAACTAGCACCTCACTGTTAAAAGCTCATTTTAATTTCAAGCATGTTTAAGTATTTATGGACATGAACAAAAACGGGAAATATATAAATTGAGATTTATTTAATTAATATAACAAATAACTGTTTAGAGGAGGAAAGAGTCATTCAAAGGCACATTCTTCTGGAAGCTCCTGATCCTG